ACATCATGGGCGGTGACGATTCGATATTCCGCCAATTGGTTTTCAGATATGTTGGATTTTGCTATTAAGAATTCATTTTCATGGTTCTTCGGTAAACTCTTTTGCCCAGGAAGAATTACTTCTTAATAAGAGGGAATAGCATGCACCTCTCGGTCAACATGTGTGCTTCCCTGAAATTAACAATTTATCTGAGGGTATTGTTATCATTTAACGCATTTCTAGGCTGACTCTTATGTTGGTGGGACAACACGTTCAGTCTCATTTTCTATCAGTGGAACACTTTTTGCTCTCTAGGACTCCTGCTCTCTCTACCTCCTCTTCGTTCTTAACTTTTTTTGACGGAGCTTTTTCTTATCTCATGTGAGTAGAGGCGGACCTACATTGGGAGGTGGGGGGTCACCGGAACCTGTTAACCTCGGCAAAAATATATTATATATATTTTATATTTATATGCATATAAAGTGAGGACCCCTTAAATATTTTAAGTGTGCCCCCTAAACACAAAAGGTGGACAGAAGCATTGGTTGAAGAAAGTGCTCAAAGTGTCTTCACTTCCCTGATGTCCCAAGTTCGAATCGTGCCTCCTACAAATTTTATAATTCTATTTTACTTTTACTTTTTTTTAATTCAATTATTGTTTAATTACTTAGTAGTCAACCGGTTATATTTTTATAACCTTTTCTGAATTCAATTATAATTTGATACTTCTACATAATAATAAACTTAAAACTTAATTAACCTTTTTTTCAAATCCCCGGCTCATTCAAAAGTCTAAATATTCATTAGCCCCCCCCTCCACAAATAGAGTAGCAAACTCTTCTCCCTCCCTTCAATTTAGTTAATTCTTTTTCAGTTCTCTGCATCTTTTCTAAATTCGATAGCCCTATTAGGTGACGACAACGATGATTGAATTTGAGTCTCTTCTTCTTTGATTTTATTTGAGTTCGTTTTTTTTCTTTTGAAAATATTACCTTAGCAAAATAATGTGCTACAAACTTTTTCTTTTCCGAAAAGATTCTTAGAGCTAGAAAGATATTATAAACATTTGCATTTTCGATTTATGTAAATTATACCGAGATTAGTAGTTGACTCTTGCATCACTTTGAGGAGAAAACGTTAATTTTATTTCAAGTATGTAATATAATATTAGTTAAGGAGAAAAGGTTTTTATTGATTCAATATTAATTTAGTCATATTGCTTACATATGAATGGTCAATTAGAGCTGCAGATTATTGAAAATAGTCTACCTAAAAAGCGAAAATAGATGAAAGATCCTTCTTTGATTGAGAAGGAAGGATCCTTCTGTGATTGAGAATAAAGATCCTTCGGTGATTGAAGAAGATGTTACTTTGCTTGGAATCATTATTTTTAGGAAGTTCTTGTTCTTGTGAATTTAGATGACGTATTCTTGGCGAAGTTTAATTCTTTTCATTCAAGTTCTAGTTTTAAGAGACAATACCTCTCATTTTATAGATGAGTTTGATGTGGAATCACATAATCCCGACCCTGTATGAGTAGACGATGTACTTATGTTATATTAGTACCAAATTAATGATATTCGATAATATCGAAATTTGTGTTTTGATGATAGTTATCATAATCATTAAGTTTTTATAGACTTGAACGCCGAACTTTATCGCTAGCCAGTACTTGGTATACTAAAGATGGTGCCCCCGCTATGCTCCAGTCCTGGGTATGCCTCTGCATGTGAGGGTTATGTTACTGGTTTTTTTAGTTATTTTATTTCATAATTATCTTGCAAATTTCTGTAATTCGTTTGGATTTTGCATTTTGATCGCTGTTTTCTGTTGGGTTTCCTTGTTCTCATCTTGTGTTTTTCTGTTTCATTTAGCTGCTGTTTTCTACTGGGTTTCCTTGTTCTCATCTTGTGTTTTTTTGTTTCATTTGGTGTTAAGTTTTTTTTGGGTCTTGTGAGTTTTTTCAAAATAAAAATGTGTGAACAATTCAAATTAGAAAGGAGCTTCACTCTATTTGACAATAGTAGTTTTGTAAAGCCTTTTAAAATATAGATGTATCAAAATTAATATTTAAATTACTTTATGCTGATTTTATTATTGGATAACACATTTAAGCTACATGTTGAGTTCTTAGTCGATTGGCACGATGAAAATAGCTTGGAATTCATCTGATCCATAAATCTAAATTTGTGGCACCATATTAATCAATGTATAGTTTCTTGGGATCAACCCCTTAAGCTAAATTTAGTAGAAGTTAGCCCAAGAGAAAGCAGACCTACTAAAATTAAGGTTAAGCTTATCAAATTTTATTTCATAAGAGTCTCAAGACAGATCTATGTTTACCTAATGATGCTTTTTAATATATGTTAGAATAGATCAATATGTGTTGCTGCTGCTTCATTTCAAAGTGAATCTTTCAGGCATTATTTTCGAATTAGGTATCAATAGTTATTTTAGACATAAAGTAAATTGAAACTGTACCTCTGTACTTTCACATTAAAAAAGATTACATGTGTTTACCTGTACTCTATTTTTACATGAATGACATTTTACCTATGTCTACCAGCATTTTGCTTATTACAAAAGAATTGGAGCGACAAAAATGCAATTCTTCAACAAAATCGGTTGTTAATTGCCCAACTGAAAGAATGAAGTCTCATGATGCACGTTGTCATTCATATATTTTATGCAGCGAATAGGTAATATGATGTTCTCTATGTGTGTCATTTCTATATCCAATGCAGCAGTTTGTTGATGAAGTTTGAGACATTGTAGAACATAGGTAGACTTCAGCCACACCAGATGCAGTTTTAGGGACATTGTAGAACATAGGTAGACTTCAATAAAGTAAAGAATTATATCCATAAGGACATGTTTAGAGGGGTTTTATTAGACCTTCTACCAGAGTTTTTTAATGATTTAATTAGCAATGAAAATGGTTAAATGTTTTTCGCCATACACATTTATTTTCCAGCATGATTTGTGAAGCAGAGCAAAAACTTTAGTCTTTGCTGGTTTGCCTTGGATGAGTAAAGAGCTAATTGGCGATGCAAATAACAAAGCCATACCATACCCTCGGGAAATGTTTCATGTTGGGCCCGGGCAACTTCTACTCTTGGGTAAAGAGGCTGTTTCCGATAGACCTTCGGCTCCCTCCCTCCAAGAACTCTAACCTTGCTCTTGGGGTGACTCGAACTCACAATCTTTAGTTGAAAATAGCGGGCGCTCACCACTAGAGCAACCCACCTTGCTCTTGGGCAACTATGCTTGGAAAATCTCTGTACCCTTTTAATAAAAATTTTGCAGCATTCTCTATCGTTTCTCATCCAATGAAAAACCTCCTTTCTCGGACTGTTGTCACCAAATAATAAGAGTCAATTCTTAGATATTTCAAATTCAGGAAAAATGTTAGATATTCAAAATATTCATATGCAACTATGCTACTACTTCAGTGTTTAAAGAATTCTTTAGGATCTAAACTTTCATTTTTGTAGGTCATTTTTCCAAGCTAAAATACTTCTACCACGGAATCAACATAAGGATATACATGAAAATTATCTCGCTAAATACTTGATACACTCATAAAATCTATAAAATCTAAAGCGCAATATCTATCAAAACTTCATTTTCTATTGGCAACAGACATTTAAATCGTGCATGAATCTTTCTTCTACTTTTGATAGAAGACAAAAGCATCTATCTATTAATAAAAGGTGAGGCAGAAGCTCTTTTTTTTTTTTTTTTTTTTTACAAGTGACATCATAAAAATAAGACATTTGACACTTTAGGACATATCTCCACAAAAATCTATCTATTAATAAAAGGAGAGGCAGAAGTCCCCTTTTTTGACAAGTGGCATCATGAAAATAAGACATTTGACACTTTAGGACATATCTCCACAAAAATCTATCTGTTAATAAAAGGAGAGGCAAACCATCTTTTTTTTGACAAGTGGCATCATGAAAATAAGACATTTGGCACTTAGGACATATCTCCACAAAAATAGGAACTAAAATATTAGTTGGGGAAAAAATCTCATGCAAACTACTTTTGTTAATTAAAAATGTCAGTTATTTATTTTTAAAGAATTAAAACGTTAGAAGCATCCTATTAGACTTCTGTTTGGGGAAAAATCTCCTACAATATTCAATACTCTACTTTTGTGAACTAAATATTTTAGTTTTTTCTTTTTTTAAACAAGTAACCGTATCTATATGTGAACGTGAATACATACGAAAAAATCTATCTATTAATAAAAGGAGAGGCAAGCCATCTTTTTTTGACAAGTGGCATCATAAAAATAAGACATTTGGCACTTTAGGACATATCTCCACAAAAATAGGAACTAAAATATTATTTGGGAAAAAAATCTCATACAAACTACTTTTGTTAAATAAAAATGTCAGTTATTTATTTTTAAAGAATTAAAATGCTAGAAGCATCCTATTAGACTTCTGTTTGGGGAAAAAATCTCCGACAATATTCAATACTCTACTTTTGTGAACTAAATATTTTAGTTTAAAAAAAATAAAATAAGTAACCGTATCTACATGTGAACGTGAATACACACGAAAAAAAATTGAAAAATTCAAAAAGAAATATTTTATAACTCTAAAAGTTTTAAAAGAAAAAATAAAATTATTTCGAAGAATTTCAAAAGAAACCAAAAAATGGCTTATCAAAGGTAGTCTCCAACCCGTAATCGCAACAACCCAATTGCAAGAGCGGAGCTCTACCAACTGAGCTATATCCCCCCGAGCCAAGTGGAGCATGCATGAAGTAGTCAGATGGTTTCGGTCGATTTTACCTACTATTGGATTTGAACCAATGATTCTCCCCATATGAAAGCGATACTCTAACCGCTGAGTCAGATTTTATCTAAACCTACGCACGATCGGTAACCATCATGAACTGCTCAAAACTGACTATGCCAACTTCTATGTCTTCCATTGCTACTCTATACATAAACCAAAGGCAAACGTATATCAGAAATTCAACAAAACAAAAGGATTCTGCAAATTATGGCTACACACAATGATTTCATCAAGGATATAACAATTTCGAAAATGCAATGGAAGTTGAAAGTTCGGGTTGTTCGTCTGTGGGAAGTCCCAGATCGTTACAATTCAGACACTACTTTCTCGATTGAATTGGTTCTACAAGATGAAAAGGTATTAAAAACTATTTTTTTTTTACTTACTAATTCGTTTTGCTTCTCTATTTTTTAAGTTGCAAAGTCTAGATTTGTTGTTATGTTCTTCACACATTTATTAACGCTACTTTTTTGATTGAATTGGTTCTACAACATTAGAATTGGTTTTCTTTTTTGCTTGCACTGTTTTGGTACTTCTGGCGTTCTCTCTTTCTCGCTGTGTTATTTGTCTCCTTGAGTTTCAGAAAAAGCTTATTTCCTTTCACTGCTTCAGTGCTTTTGCACCTCTGCACATGTTCTCTATTCATTCCACTTTTTCCTTTTCGTTTTTTTAATCTGAATGCTCTTAACTCTTTTGCTATTTTGCTTATTTCTGCCTTCTCATCAATGTATTTATTGAATCTCTACGTGTTTTTATCGAAAAAATATTTAAAATAGCAAGTTGTTTGATTCCCGAAGAAAAAATAGCAAAAGTGTCGTTCTACAAGATGAAAATGTATTAAAAATCATTTGTTTTACTTTCTAATTCGTTTTGCTTCTCTATTTTTTAAGTTTTGCAAAATTTGAATTTGTTGTTATGTTCTTCGTACATTTATTAACGCCACTTTCTCGATTGAATTGGTTCTACAAGATTAGAAGATACTACAAATCACTTTTTTTGTCTTACTAATTCGTTTTGCTTCTCTATTTTTTAAGTTTTGCAAAATTTGAATTTGTTGTTATGTTCTTCGTACATTTATTAACGCCACTTTCTCGATTGAATTGGTTCTACAAGATTAGAAGATACTACAAATCACTTTTTTTGTCTTACTAATTTGTTTTGCTTCTCTGTTTTTTAAGTTGCAAAGATGGATTAACTATGTTCTTCTTCCATTTTTAATAACTATATGTATGTATTTAATGTGATTTCTTTGAAGGAAAATCGGATACAAGCTTCTATTGGCAAGTCAGTGCTGCATCTTTTCAAAACACAAATTAATGAGCTTGAATTATATGTTATGGCGTACTTTATCGTTTGTCAAAATAAAGAGAGGTTCAAAATCACAAAACATAACTTAAGGCTCACATTTACTCAACGGACAACAGTGGCTGAAATATCTGATCCACTTTTCCCAATGAATATCTTTGATCTGCGGCCATATGATCAATTGATAAATAAGGTTGATGTGGACGAGACTGAATTATTCGGTAAAAATAACTTTCACCTCAAAATTCTAATAATGATCTTTTTCTGCCTTTTATTTTGATATCTTCTTATTCTTTAGATCTGATCGGAGAAATTGTCAGTTTTAGTGAGGTAAAAAGGCACATACAAGCTGGAATTTCTACGAAGTTTATGAATATCGAACTAGAAGATTATGAGTAAGAATAAATACTCAATCCATTGATTATTGATGGATTTGGCAATTCCATCAGCTAAAATTTATATATCTATTTTTATTTGTTAGGAGGAACAAGTTGTCTGCTACATTCTGGGGCAAATTTGTTGATCAAATTGTACCTCACCTGCTAAATTCTAACAATCAACCTATTGTTGTTGTTATGCAGCTTATAAAAGCACATAAATTTCAAGGTAAAATTATATTATTAACATGTCTTTATTTGGTGAAGAGTTATTCATTACATCTTATACATACGCTGTTTCACAGATTCATATTTTGTGCGCAATACTTGGAATACATCAAAGCTATGGATTAATCCAAATTTTTCTCAATATGACGAGTTTAAAATACAGTTTAATATATTTTTTTGCCTACCAACTATACTCAAATCTATTTTTTCAACTATACATCTGACTATTTTACTCTTTCTTTAATACAGATTAATTTCTGTTCGAGATAATTACTCTGAAAGGTTGACTCAAACCATCTCTCAACAGAGTTACTCCGTCTCGGAAGAATTAGCAAAAGACGTTGTTCAAGTTAAAATAATTGGCGAATTAATGGAGTTCATGCAAGTAAGTAAATTATCTTGTGCATAATTATAACTATTTTGATAATATGTCTACATGTGAACGTGAATACACACCAAAAAAAAGTTGAAAAATTCAAAAAGAAATATTTTATAACTCTAAAAGTTTTAAAAGGAAAAATAAAATTATTTTGAAAAGTTTTAAAAGAAACCAAAAAATGGCTTATCAAAAGTAGTCTCCAACCCGTAATCGTAACGACCCAATTGCAAGAGCGGAGCTCTACCAACTGAGCTATATCCCCTCGAGCCAAGTGGAGCATGCATGAAGTAGTCAGATACACGAGTTTCGATCGATTTTACCTATTATTGGATTTGAATCAATGATTCTCGCCGTATGAAAGTGATACTCTAACCGCTGAGTCAGATTTTATCTAAACCTATGCTATCTAAACCTACGCACGATCGGTAACCATATGAACAGCTCAAAACTGACTATGCCAACTTCCACATCTTCCATTGTTACTCTATACATAAACCAAAGGCAAACATATATAATAAATTCAACAAAACAAAAGGATTCTGCAAATTATGGCCACTCACAGTGATTTAATCAAGGATATAACAATTTCGAAAATGCAATGGAAGTTGAAAGTTCGGGTTGTTCGTCTGTGGGAAGTCCCGGACAGTGTTTTAAAAGGCGTGGGCGTAAGGCGAGATGTTTTACATATGCCTCGGCGAGGCGTAAGCCCCAAGGCACGGGGCGTAATCCCCATAGGTATTTAATTTTTAATATTTTATAAAATAATATAATGACAGTAATTACTTATAAATATGTAAAATTGCATAAAATTGAAGAAAGCTATATA